TGACAACCCCTGCTTCCTACTCACAGGGCTCAGGGAATCCCAACTCCACCCTCAAACAACCTCAACAGTTTTGAGTAAAGAAAAACCAGCATGTTTACCGAGCACCTATTACATACTAAGTGCTACGGAGACCTCAGCAGAGGAGCTTCCCTCCTAGCTACCCCCAAAATGAGACAATGAGGTGTGGGAAAGACATCATGAGTGCCAGATCCCAGGGGAGACCCTGCTGAGACTAGGCCTTTGTCACCTTTTTGTCCCTGGTGTCCCAGTATTTTATACAAACAATAACATAGAAAAATATTCTCCTATGCAGAAAGCAAAAGGAAATTCATTCCTTGACTGACTCACTCCTTCGACAAAAATGGAAACAAAAGGCCTCTGATATAAACTAGACCCTTCCCACACTAGTGGGAGGGAGGAGTCCAAAGAGAGGAAAGCTCTGTGCCCTCCCGGCTCCTGGTCCAAGAGAGTTCACGGAATGAGTCTTGAATGAGTAGCCAGGATCCCGTCCAGGCTCAGTTTCCTTGATCTGTGAAGTCAGGACAGGGACCACTTGCCCGTCTCCCAGGGTCACTTTGATAATCAAATGTCCAATAAGGAGAAGACCTAGAGAAGCACAGAAACCCCTACTCTGTACAACTCCACTGGCAACTAGACAGAAGGGGTCCAAAGAAGCCTGGGGTAGGTGGCAGTCTTGAGGAGTGGGGCAGCCCCCCGCTACATGGATGGGACAGGGTGAAGGGAGCTTGTGCTAGCAGACCCCAAAGCTGAGCACCGCAGACAACTCCTGTGATCAGAGAGTCGTTTCCAGGCAAGAGTGAAAAGGCAGGAAAAGTCACATGGAAACCAGGGCATAGTGGGGTTCTCGGATGCCAGCACTCCGGCAAAAATAAATGAATTTCACAGCTCTACCCGGATGCCACACAAATAGGCACTGCCCTCGTCTAAGGACCTGTGTTCCCTTCTATTTTGAGAGTGGCCCCACCTTCTCCCTACCTGGTGGCTCCCTCTGGCCATTGGTGCCTTCACCATGGCCACAGAACTTCAAGCTGCTGGGCCTCCAGATCTTCAGCCAAGCCCCTTGTTACTTAGGGTGAGAAGACCCAGAGAGGGGAGGGGAGTGACAAATGGGGACTTTCCACCTCCCCCTTTGGCCCTGTGTTTATGGACACCCCTGTGGCTCGGGTAAAAAGTTCACAGGTTTTACCACATTTACCTTGTCTGTGAGGATTACTGGTTATGCATTCTGTGTTATCATTACACACATCAAATCATTAGTTGTGCAAATAGCTGGCAATTCAGAACAGGACTGTGCACAAAGAGGATTCAGCTGATATGGTTATACAACCTGAAATGGGGTACTTTGGACTTTGGTGGAGCCAGGTTCGTAGTCTGAGCCTCTTTGGATAATAATGCAGGAAGAAGCAACACTAATTAAAGATACAGAGTGCTATTAAAAGAGCACTCTTCATTTCTTGAGTCTTGCAGAAAAGAGACCTGGGGTTGGGAGGGAAGCCTGCAGTAGCAGCTTTACCACTAATGTGGGACTGAATGACTCTGGATACATCAGCTCCCCTTCTGTGGGCCTCAGTTTCCGCATCTGTAACTTGAAAAGGTTGCAAGAGAAGCCAAAGGGCTCTTCTACCTCCAGGATGCAAAAAGAAACTTACAAGAAGGGCTGTTCGGTTAACAGAAAAAGGTGGCACGACACTGCCCCCAAATCAAAATGCCTCAAGTCCACTTGCAAAACATCAGTGCTCACCAACAGAGGGTGAAAAGGTAGCCTGACCCAGCTTCCACCGCATCAGTGCCTCAAATGCAACGCACAACAGTTGTTCGGGAGCCCTTGTTTCTAAGCTGGCTTTTGTTATTTGTGGCTGACACTGGAAAGCCTCTGCAGGAACAAGATGGCACCTGATGAGGTGGGCAGCCATCACTGCCCCGCTGGCCTTGCTGAATCACCCCGACATGCTGCCTGGAAGCAGAGGCTTGGAGCAGGTGGGTGACCTCTTGAGGTCTTGGGCCAGGCCTGTGCTTCCGTAATCTTTGCTTTACCATAATTAGGGAGGGAGGCAGAAGAGTAGGAGGAGAAACCATTTATTACTTCTCTGGGATTTGACAGCTTGGAAAAAGAGAGGGAGACAGAGAACAGCCAGGGAAGGAGCCAGCCACAGTGAGTTTAACCTCTCAGTAAAATAAAAATGGGCTGGACGCACCTCATCAGCTGCCCTCTGTCAATACCGGGGCCCATCTGGCAGAACTTGAGGTTCCCAGCTAATTGGCATTTCCCATAGAGCCAGCAAAGAAGAGCTTTTCAAAAAAATATGTGGTGGTGGTGGGGTGTGTGTGTGCACCTGTGTGTGTGTGAGAGAGAGAGCTGGCTGAGGACTGCCACACTTCCCAAGGTGCTAGCTCTGTAGATCATCTATTATATGAAAGTACAGATAGTCCCCACCCCCACCCGAGCTTAAAGACGAAGAATCCAGCCTGTTTGTTCCAGGCAGATGTAATCACACGAACAGTCAAGTCTAGAGGGCAGGACACTGCATGAATAATTCAAGCACTCCAGTCACTTGATTGTGTGTGCAGATAAAACACCAGTCAACCGCTAAACAGGTCAGCTGATAAACTTGTTTGCTCAGGCCTAACCACCATCCGCCAAATGCACCCAAGACCCACACTACAATTAGTGGCACGGCTTTCTTCTACAGAACCCTCGCAAACCCAGGGAGTGGCCAGGCCCATTAGGTCAGGGAGGCGTTTCTCAGGCAAGGTTTCTTCACCTCCTTGCCTCTTTGTTCCTCCACGGACACAGGGTGATTTCACCCAGCTCAGAGGCCGCCTAAAGCCTAAAATGGCACGGCTCTCAGAGCACACACTCTCATGCCAGGAACTGGGGCTGGAAGGCAAAGGTGAGTGGCAAGCGGGGGAAAGTGCCCAGCTGCAGAATCCAGAGGCCCGGATTTGAGTCCCAGCTCTGCCCTCCTGGCTTCCCTGAAGCCTCAGTTTCCTCACCTATAAAAAGGAGGCAAAGAATCCCTCTATCCGGCACTGGCAGCTGACAAGATTACAAGAGACAACATAGCCAAACCTCAGGCATTCTCCCCCTAAGAACCCTGTTTGGGGAATGGCCAGAAATCTCAGATGCACACAGCTGCTCTTTAGACAAACCCCACCACCAAAAGCATTTAGATGTTTAATTCTTCCTGCTCTCAGAGCGTCCTCAGGACTCGGGGAGCAGCACTGTTGCTAGCCAAGGTGGATTCTTTGTGCCAAAGAACCATCCACTCACAGACATGGGAACACCACCCATGCAGACCTCAACATCCAACAAGATATTATAGCTTAATTACGAAGCTCTTAGAATAACTGCTGCTATAAATTTTAAACCTGGGTGCAACTGCCCTCTTTAAACACACCCAAGATACTAAGCACTGAGAAAAAAAAGAGAGAAGGTGGAGAAAGGGAGGAAGTAGCACCTTGCACAACACCCCAAGGTCCCTGAAACAACGGGGACCCCAGTTCCACTTCACAAATTCTTACTGGACAAGTCAGACCTGGTCAGTTCTACCTAGAGTCGGCAGAACCTATCTCTAGTCTATCCTCCCAAGGAGAAACATCTTTACATGTAAAGCCATGTCTGTTTATTATTTTTGTGTGTCAAGAAGGCCTTCATGTGCCTTCCTAAGGAACTAATCCCTCAGGAAGCCCCAGCCGGCTTCCCACCTTGCTCAATAAACTCAGGCCCCTTTCTGACTGCCTGTCACCCAACACTGGGACTCCCTCCAGGAAGGGAAAGGAAACTACAGGTTCAGAAGGCTCTATAGGAAGCCAGTGGAGCGGGCAGGAATCTACATGCTTTCCAGGGGTCACCTGGCTTCTCACCTGCTCTGGGTCCTGCCCCTTTAAAGAGCAAAATTCAAACCTTGTAAACGACTGGTAATTTAGAGCAGAAAATCCATTCAAGTCACGGTCACCAAAGGCTAGAATGAGTCAACAGCCTTCTGAGATTTCAAGAACACCAATTGTTAAAAAGAACAACCGGCCTGCGCCATTTATACGTGCCAAGTCAACTCTAATCGTTGGCCAAGCCAAATTATAGGCAGCCTTTCCTCGGAACAAAATACACAAACAGGCCTCTCCCACAGCCCGGCCTAGCACTAGACTAGTTACTGATATGCACTGAGATAAAGGGTGTTTGTATTTGCTCGGTTTGAGGTACACTGTTATTAGAAGGGTGACAATATGAGGTAGTTTACATAGCCATCAAACAACACCACACTCGCTAAACTGGTTTGACTTCAGGATTTCAAAGCTGAGCTCAACCCCCAGCCACCTCAAAAGCCTGGCTCAGCTGCCCCTGGGCAAGTTACTTCACCCCCTAGCTTCAGCTTCCTTCTCTGTAAAATGGGAACACAGCAGCCTGCAAATCAAGACAGAGATGAGAAAGCTGCCTGGGCAATGCAAGGCATTAGACTTGTATTTCATTCTGGCTTTCCGTTTTTAAACAGTTAGTGGCTTCGTTCCCTTAAATTTCTACAACTCAGCCTGGCTTTTAAGGCTCTTCAAGTTTAATCTTATCAAGGCAGAACATCACATTTTTGCAGGGAAAAAAAAAAAAGCAAAAAGAAAGAAAAGAAATCCTCCTGCATTTCCTCTTGAGAATTTTACATTAAAACAGATAAAAGCAACCAGCCACCTCTGGGCTTTCAGGAGTTTGTAAAGCAGATCCTGAAGGTTCCAACTTTCCCTTTGGTCCTTTATCCTCCACCAAGATCCAAGCCCGGGACTAATTTCACAAGTTCCAATGCTAAAAGCTCAACGTGTCCAAGAACTCAGCAAAGCCTCAGACCGTGCATTTCAAGGACTGGATCCATTCACTCTTCAGGGAGAAGTGGGAGGAACAGAAGAACCAGGCTCATTTGTAAACAAGAGGGAACATAAGAAAGAAGTCCACGTATGTATGTAAGTTTTTAAAAAACAAAGAGAAAAGCACTTACCTGCTTGTGCATTTCAATGTTCAAGCCATAGGACATCTCATAGTACTAAAAGGAAAAAGAACTGCCATTAACAACACAGGAATCTGTTCGTTTTTCAAAACCCATTTTTTTCTTGGGAAGGTTTTGGCCAAATCATACCATTATGATCCATTAGCTGAAGAATTTTAAATCAAACCCCAAAGTCAGCTTACAGAGAGATTTAAGAGCTGACAAGGGGGACTGTCCCTCTCATCTCAACAATGCGTTAGATGTAGAATAGTAAGAAGAGCTGGGCCCTCCCTCCCACAAGCACTGCATGTGCCATATATCCTGTTTATACAAGGTTCGGGTTCAACAGGGAATCATGTGTACACTGGGACCCTCTTGTCCTCTGAGAGTTATTTAGCACTGTGTCGAAGCCCTCTTCTGTGGAAAGCAGTGCAGAGAGCCGCGCTCAAGTGCCTCCATGCCCTCTCACAAACGGAAGGTTTAAACTTGCTGGAGCAGAGCACTGGGCAAAGGGGAGACAGTACCTACTGCCCCGGGCTGACAGGATTCTCAGTAGGGGATCCCTGAGGAGAGGGGTGGAAGCATAAGGCTTTAAAAGGCTCCTCCACTCCTCAGAAAACCCTGGGGAAGGAGGGCTTCTGGCTAGATCCCACAGCTGCAAAGCAGAAAAGTTTCCAAACACTCCGGGGAGGTCTCTAAGAAGATTTTTATCCACCCCTGACGTGGGCCGATCTAATCCTATCTCACTAACGAAGATAGGGCAACTAGCTCTTGGGAAGCCTTCAAAACACAAATTAAAGACACACAAAGGTAGTTCAGAAGTCCCCAGCCAGGAGTTCGGGTTTCTCTTTCTGCCTGTTCCCTAGCCCACCCTCCCTCAAGCGCCCCGGCTCGGGGACACTGGAGAAGGGGTAGGGGGGACCGTGAGGTCACACCCGCTCCCGGGGCTGCCCTGCGGCTGGGCCATGGTGGGGACCAGGCTCCGGTCTCCCCAGATCCGCGCCGGGTCGGCGCCCTCCCGGCCCCCGCGCCTCTCACCATCACATAATGGCGCTGCATCTCCGTCTTCTCGTTCGCCAGCTTGTCGTACTCCACTTTGAGGCTGCGAGGGCAGGAGGAGCAGGCTCAGGCCCGGCGCCTGCACAGCCTCCCCCGAGGCCCCAACCCAAAGGCCTCTGAGAGCCACTTTTCCACTTCCCGATACCCTCGGGGGTACCCCAGCATCCCGCAGCCTCGGGGCGCAGGGGGATTCGGGTCCCCGACACAGGGAGGGGGTGTGAAACAACTCGAAACTTGCCGCGGCCCAGCTGGTGGACTTATCTCCGCCACGGGGCAGAGGGACCCTGGCTCTCGACCCCCAGAACCCGGAGTGAACCCGCCCGCGACCCAGACCCCCATCCGGGGGGCCCCGCGGGCGGCGCTGGGAGCCGGGCGGCTGCGGGCAGCAAAGGGTTAAGGCGGCGCGCTCCGAAAGGGGAAACAAAAGGCGGAGGCCCGGGCAGCCTCGCCGCCCCGGGGTCGGGAGCCTCCTCCGTCCCCGCGGGGGGTGGCAGGAGTCGTGCCAGGGACGCCCCCTCCCTGCCAGCCCCGGGGCGGCCCCCGCCGGCCTTACCTGTGATACTGAGCTTGCAGGAACTGGAATTCGTCTTTGATCCTGTCACAAGACTCAGCCACCGTGAATTTAAATCCCGGCTGCCCGGGTTGATGGGGAGCCTGGAGCCCGCGAAGACGAGACAGGGGAGGGGGCGGGGGCATCAGACGCTGCTCCGGGCTGCCCCGGCTCCTCCGAGGCGGCCCCAGCCCCTCCCGCCGGCGCCCAACCAGCTAGGCCACCCTCAGCCCAGAACGTTCCCGGCAAGTTTCTCAGCGCCCGCGCTGGGGGGGGAGGGGGGCGCCCCATCCCTCCCTGTCGGCTACGGGGCTCCGGCCCTTGCGCGAAGGGGCGCCCGGCCCCAAGTCAGGCAGGGCGGGCGGACAGGCCGGCCGAGTTGGGAGACTTGGGCGAGGGGCGGGGGCCACAGCTCCCCCTGGAACACAGGCAGCCCCCCGCGCCGCTCGGGCGGAACTAACCTCCCCTCTTCACGGCGCACCCGCGTCCCCGTCCCCTTTGTGTGAGCGCACACGCACACACACACACGCACACGCACCATAAAGGTGGCAACAAGCAAAATGGAGGTACCAGATAAACTGCCTCGTTTACCCTGCCGTGATAGATGCCTAAATAAACCGAGTTGCAATTACTCACCGGATGTCTGCCTTGCGGATACATGGCAGGGAGGGGTCGTGATTCCGAGAGCGTGGAAGCGCCGAGAGCCCGGGCCGAGAGGGTGCGGGGGAGGGGGGAGCCGAGCCCGAGCGGGGGGCGGCCGGGAAACCGAGAGCTCGCCCCCGGCCCCCCCAGCCCGTTCTCGCAGCGAAATCCCAGAGTCGGGCGCCCGCCCCAAGTGCAGACAAAGAGCCGCGGAGCGGGCGGCAAAGTCGTCGGCGGGCGCCGAGCCGGGCGGCGGGCGCGGGCTTTGTGCGCCTAGGGCTCGGCGGGCTGCGGCCGGTCGCCCTCCCCGGGCTGCGTCGACAGCGTCAGAGCCCGGGGCTGCGCGGACATCGTCGGCTCCCTGGCGGGCCCGGCGCGGAGTCCCAAGGCCGGGGCCCCTCCGGGTCACTCAGCGCGTTGCGCCGGGAGGGGGCTGCGCGGGGGCAGCCCCCAGCATCCGGGGCGCGGGTCGGGTCCTAGAGACGGCTGGGCCCGGGCTCGCGGCGAGAAGAGGAAGGAGGCAGGCAACGAGGTGGCGGCTGGGGCCGCAGGAGCGCCGGAGGGCGAGGGCGGGAGCCCGGCGCGGGCGCCTCGACGCCCCCCCTCGGAGACCAGAGCCGCTGTTTCGTCTGCTACCGCTGCCGCCGCCGCCGCCGCCGCCGCAAGCCCTTCCCAGGGCCGGGAGGGACTCCGGGCTCAGTGCGTGCAAATCAGCCGCCCTGGCATCCTACTCCAGCGGGCACCGGCAGCCTCCGCAAAGGGTCCTCGCTGCTCCCAGCTCGAGTGCCGCGTCCCCAGCGAGGAGCGCTCAGCGCCACCGCCGCGGCCGCCTCGGAGCTCGCGGGCCGGAGAGCGCCGGCGGGGAGACGCAGCCAGACCCGGAGCTCTGCGGCTTCCTTCCTCCCCTCGTCCGGCTCTCCTCTCCGCGCCGCGACAAACCCCAGCACACACACCCAGCGCGCACACACACAACCAAAAAAAGTGCCTCGGACCTGCGGATACCACACACAGACAGACTGGGGGACGAGCACGAGGTCTGAACTGCCGCGAGAGCAGTTCCAAATAGGGACTGAAAAGTAACAAAATAATGTGGCAGCCTCGTCCGGCGTTGGCCAATGGGAGCGCGGGGCCCCCACGTGGGGCCGCGGGCCGCGGCCTGCGACTGGGCGCCGCCGGGCACGACGTCACAATGCCCTCTTGTGTCTAAAACTATGCATGAAAAGTAGCAATCAGGCCCTACCCGCCGGTGACTTTCGCATGGGAGTGAAAAACAGCGCTCCTCAGATCAGGAATTAACCGAAAGACATATAATAAATAGATATATATTATAGTCCTGGGCTGCCAGGGCTTTTTTTCCTCCTCTTTTTTTTTTCCCACGATCTACTAGCAAATAATTATTTGGCAGGAGGAAAGAGAGAAGACAGAGGAAAAACAACAAAAGAAAAAAAGACAAGCTGTACCATCCTCAAAACCTGTGGCTGGTCGCAATGTATCAGCTCGCTCCGCGGCGGCAGCGAGCGATTCCGCCCTCTAATCTCATTAGGTCTGCAAAGCAGCCCAATTATATACCATAAAACAAACAGAATCACTTTGTCACTTTAATGTTTTCACTTCAAGAGATTTAGGGCCGATAAAATGGTGGCTCCCAAAGTTGCCTCCGACCTTTCAAAATTTGCTCGAAACTGAGGATGTCCCCTTTTCCTTACCCCTCCTCCTGCCCCCACCCGTAACCTCCCAGCTTTCCTCCTTTGTTCGCTCGCCCTTCTTTTCGGAAAGCCAAACAAACAGCCCCTTTGCGGTGCGGAGGCTGCCTGAGAGGAGCTGTGGGAGTCTGCGTGGCGGGCCGCGCAGAGGAAGGGCCCGGCCGCCTGCGGACGACAGGCTCTGCTCGAGGCTGGCCCCGCTCGGACGCCTTCCCGGCGGGGACGGCGATGCCCTCGCCGCAGCCGCGCCGCGCCGGCTCCTCACGGCTCTCCCGGGCCGGAGGAGCGAGTAAGGGACGGGTCCCGGCCCCTGCCCAGCCGATGCCCCGGTACTCGAGTTCTGGCCCGGTTCACTCAGCCCGCATGCGGCAGGGTCACAGCGTTGGCGGAAGCCTGTGGATGTGTCGGTCCCCAGCCCGGACGCCCCGGGGGACGCAGCCACTTCCCCGCCCGCGCCTCCCGGACTCCCAACGCGGCCGCACAGACCACCGGGCTGCGGGGCCGGTTTGCCCGCAAACCGACAGCCTGGATCTCACGCGCTCGGGGTTACGTCAGGGCAGATGGGCCAGGGGGACGCGGCCCTCGGAGCGAACATCTCCGGGGAGTCGGCCCAGTCGGGCCCCGGGATCCTTCCCTGGCATCTGCGCTAGACGGCGGCACCCGGGGGCCCGCGACGGAGGCGCGCGAGCCGGCCGCGCGCCCCGATCCCTATTTCCCCTCATTAGTTGCCGGAGGTTAGCTTTTGCATCGTAATGAGGAGCCGAGCGCGAGCGGGCGCTCGGAGTCTAGTGCGCAGGGAGTTACACGTGAGCGCCGCCTCGGACTGAACCTCCGCGCCCGCTCCGGCCGCCGGCCCGAGCCGCGCTCCTCTCTTCATTTATTTATTCTCCTAAATAAAAACATAAATCGTGTGCGGCGCGCACCGAACAGGGGGGGGTAGGGAGACGCCCGGTTCGACAGATGCGAGCATCTGGCCGCAGCATTCATTAGACACAAAATGGCTCCTCTTTGGAGCTTCCTTTTCCCCTCCCCCTTCTCTGCCCTCCCCCTTACGTCACGGGTGGGCGCACCTCCTACCCTTCCCGCCCCTTTCTCGCTTCGGCCCCCACGTGGGGGACGCTGACCACGCCCCCGAGCAAGACTCGGAAGACCAATCACAGACCGCTGAGGGGGCCCTCCGTTGCTGATTGGTGAAGATGGTAGGAGCTGTCAGTCGGCGGCCAGAGCTGTCAGTCAAAACCACGCGGGGTGGGGGAGCGCTGACAAATGCCGAGGCTTCTGAGCCTCCCGCTTGCAAATAGTGCTTGGAATGGCTGCTTAATTAGCTTTGAATGGCTTTTCCTTCCAGCTCAAACAATCTGTCACTACCATGTGGTATAAAGGAGCCATGCATAAAAAAGTAAGCAGAGGCTAAATATCAATTTGATTTTGTGTATCAAAGGAATATTTTATTTTTCTCCCTAGTAATGAAACGTATCAATTTAAATAATAAAAGGTAAAAACACACACAAAAACCAAAAAAAAGAAAAGAAGAAGAAGAGAAAGAAAAGAAACAGAAAAAGAAAGAAAGAAAACCCAAACTCCACGGTGTTCCGTCTCCTGCTCACGCCTGAAACAGGTCACTTCTACAGCCCAAGTTCAGGAGGAAGCCTAAAATTTCCCCCTCCCCCCTTTTAAACTTGCATTTAATGTTTTGTTGTTGTCGTCCTCCAGAAGTCTAGAAGGAGTGATGGGGGAGGGGCGGCCTGTAAAAGGGGACGTGGGGGCGGGGAGGGGGCCAACTTTAAAGGGAGCTCTTTGAAGCTGCTAATCAAAGTGGAGGGGGTTTTAAGACCCCGTAAACTGGGGGTCCTACAGCAGGTCTCGATTTGGGAGCCGAGAGGAGGGGGGAGAGCGCGGGTGTGCGTCTCGCCTGGATTTATTAAACACAATGCTTTCAGGATGCCCGGGACGCGGCGCCTCGCCAGGCCTCCCTCTCTCCGTCTCCCTCCGGACTGGCTCCGACGGCGCCCGCCCACAGGCGGCCGAGGAGCCCCCGGACCCCCAGGTCAGGTCTGCGAGGACTGTGTACAGAAAAGCACAGCAGCTCTGTCTCTGGTCTGGACGGCCCTCCTGCCCCGATGTTCGTGCTCCTGATGACCCCACGAGCCAGCGCGCTCCTGCAGGGCAGACGCACGTCGAATTTACCTGTGAGCCCTAGCGCCGGCGCCGAGCCTGGCACCCTGGAGGGGTCCGCGGCTCTGTGTCCTGGAAGTGATTTTGTAGAGCGCCGCCTCCTCGGCCGAGCGGGGCTGGAGAACCCAGCCACTCAGTCAGGCAGGACAGCCCTTGGGCGCTTACTAGGTATAAGGCAGGGCGCTGCTGTCCAGGCAGCACTCTCTTCATTCCCAAAGGAAGTGGCCTGGCTGGTGGCCCCGTTTTACAATGAAGAGGAGAGGCTAAGAAAGCTCAGTAATTTGCCCCAAGCCGGGCAGGGGTCGAGGAATCCAGGGCAGCTGGCAGGATAGCCAACCTCAGCGTCCCCTTCGCTTCCGCAAGCTGGGTCCATGAGAGCATTTGTCGAAGGAAAGACATTCATTCATTCATTCATGCCCAGCCCCTTCTGAGCTTATGGCTGTGGGGTGACAGGCCCAGCACTCCACACTGTGACTCCCACCCGCTGCACACCCAGCGTCGCTCCCGGCTGTCCCCCACCGCCTGAACCCTGAGCAGGAAGGGGGCAGGCAGGCCAGGATCCAGGTCAACACCTCTTTACGCTCACCGCCTCTGTCCCTACACCCCCATGCCACCCCACAAATTAAAAATAAAAAAAAAAAGAACGAGGAGAAAAATACATGTCTTTTATGCTCCAGAAAGAGAAAAGAAAATAAAAAACATGTATACAACACCCTGTCCAAAGCGCTTGACAATTATTTTAAAGAAGGAGGGGAGTAGAGAGAGAGTTCAAACGTCTCTGTCTCCAGTTCTAATTGGAAACGTTTCAACTGTTTATGTTACAAGAAGTGTCAGGGTCATTTGCTACCGGAGAGCTGACTTTTCATTGGCTGCTTAATTGAGTACCTCGGAGTCCACCCCACGTGGGAGAGGAATTCCTGGCACATTAAAAAAAAAAAAAAAAGTCACCCGGGTGAGACAGAAAGCCCGGCCTGGATTTCCAGAGCCAAGGCTCCGCAGCCCCTCATTTGGGATGTAGGGTGGTTGGTGGGCAGCTATCTGCCAGCCTCATGAGCGCTCCTCTGGTTCTTTAAAAATAATTGTGAAGCACATTAGATGGGTGTTTCCCCTACCCTGTCTCAGGAATTAAAGGGTCTGGCTCAGACCAGCCACCAGGCTGTGGCCTCCTTATTTGAGGAACTGATCACAGTGCCTTGGGTGGGGTTGCAAACCTCTCCCTGTCATCCCTTCCCTGAGTGCCTGCGCTGGCTTTGATTTTTTGGAGGCCTCTTATAGGAACTGCCTGAAGAGGAAAGAAATCTCCCTCACCACCACCACACCCCCACCTTGGTTGATTCTGTAAGATTCCTCTGATTCTTGGGCTTTGTCTTCATTACTAGGGTAATTCTGTTCCCTGTACCCCCACCCCACACCCACCAGTCATCCTTCACAAGCAGGCACCTCACCAAACAGCAAGAGGAAGAGAAGTTTTATGTACTTAACAAACTTACACAGAGCTCATTCCTTGCCAGATGCTGTTCTAAGCACTTGACAAATATTAACACATTTAATCCTCTCACACCAGAAATGAAGTGGGTGCCATTAGTGTCACCCCCATTTTACAGATGGGGCCATTAATACACAGTGGCACAATGAGATGCCCAAGGTCACTCAGTGACTGCTGGATTTAAGCCCAGGCTCCAGAGTCCATGCTCTTAACGATAAACCTGCTATGTCTACAAGCTTTGCTCTCCCAGGATGCCGGCCAGGGCTGCGGGATGGACCACAGGAATCTGGGGGGCCCCAGAAGGTCTCAAAGGGAGCCCCTATAAACTCATCCTGGAGCCTCCTCATTTCAGGGAAGGGGACTGAGGCTCATGGAGGTGGAGGGAATTCCGAAGGTCTCCCAACCCCTTTTCTAATTCTCTGACTAGTTCAAGCTATGTGGCTTTGGGGGACTTATTTAATCTTGTGAAGCCTCCATTTCCTCATCTGTAAAGTGGAGATAACAATCTGTCTGCCTTAGAGGATTGTTTTGAGGATCAATAGAGATAATGCATGTGATGTACTTAGTATAGAAGCTGGCACATTAAGTGATCAATAACAGTTAGCTATGGTGACCATGATGATAATGTAGGACCATCTGGGTGATTCAACTCCTCAAACATTTTCTGAGTGCCTGTAGAGGCTAGAAAGGTCTCCTGTCCCAGCCCTAGCAGGGAGTAA